GGCCTGAGCCACCGTCGTAACTCAGTTCTTGAAATTCTTGAGCCAACTGGAATTCATGGCAAGCGTTTTGAGCTGATGCAGAATTTGTGAATCCAAAACATTTCATTTGATTCTTAGCAAATTCCAAGTTCATTCTTGGGTATCGAAACCGATTGTGTCCAAAAATCATCACTTAAAACATTTGAACTTCTGAATATCTAAGGTCATCATTCAAATGACCTGCTGGTCTCTTATCAATGTTTATTATATCTTAATGGAAAATCCCAGGAACTGTCAAGAATAGTAACAAACTAAAATTTAATTGTACCTGATTCCTACATGGATTCGACCTGATCGGACTGATTGTTGACCGATTCCTAATGTTCCTGCAATATTCTTACTAGATTCTTGTAAATTGTACCAAATCCTTGACAATATTTGTGTTAATCAAGCTGAATCTCACAATTTATCCTTAGCTTTTGGACCTGTGTCGTAACTGAATCTTAGGACAGCTCAAATTGAACCCAAATATTTGCAAAATTCCAAGAATCCTCACAAATTATTGACGATTCATTTTATTCGTGGTCTGTGTGGAATAGGGGCTTGAGGGTGATCATGAGAGTTTGACTTACGCAGCCATTAACAACATTGTTGTATGGCCAGCTACAATTTTCAACATATGAAGCGAAAGGTAACTACAACTCAAATATCATGCCACCTGCTGTAACCACAAGAAACATGGTGGATGGAGAAAAGGAGACTTCCCTCGCCACGTTGCTCCAGGCTATCCCAGAAACTAAAGATGATCTCACAGACAGGAAAACATACAAACAACATTAACGAATATTAAGTCCTCACTTTCTCTATTATCCAAACAGGGGGGGGAGATGGAGACGCGAGTGAGTTAAATGAGGATGATATTAAAGATGCACATGGCGAAATTGAAAAGAACAGAGAAACCTCAAAGACAAAACTGATCGCTTAGAAAACCGTAGCAGAAGGTCTAATATCAGGAAACTGAATGAGATGGAGCAGACAGAGGTTCGAGATGCTGTAGGAGTTTCGAAGAAGTTTGTACTTTGGTTTATCTTCCACCTCGGCCATGGACCCTTCTGCTTCTACACGCTTGCCTTCAATCAGATCAGCTCATCAAGAAGGCTGGTTCTGTTCTGGAGACTCTTCTGGAACCTCTGGAGATCATTGTGCAAAGGAGGATCAAAGGAGGTTCTTCATAAAATGAAGAACATTATGGAGAACCCTGAGCATCCTCTTCATGAGACTGTCCTACAACAACAGAGTGTCTTCAGTCAGAGGCTTCTTCAGATCTGCTGTAAGACGGAGCGCTACAGGAGATCCTTCCGGCCCACAGCCATCAGCATCTACAACGGCTCTTTGAGGAAACCTTCATAATATGAGCTATAACAACATTTAATTTCCCTTTGGGATTAATAAAGTATTTTTGAATTGAATTGAATTGAATTGAATTGAATTGAATTGAATTGAATTGAATTGAATTGAATTTAACAGACTTCTTAATTCTACAACTTCAGTCGTCATCAGGTCTGGGTGTGGTTAGCACAGCTGAAAAAAAATTTATGATCACAGTTAATTAATGATTACTCCTCACATAGCACTAGGATAGTTGTATCTCTTTATGAATGAATCCATCATTTGAAAACTTCTTTTGCATTTTCTTGGGTTGTCTTTGCATGATATAAAAATTTGTTTGATCTAATCAAGATTTTTGGGTAGACCAACAAAAAAATGGTACAATTCTTTAAGCATATACTTTTTCACATCACTGTACCTTTTTTAATTCTCTTTCCAACACAAAAACATACGTTGTCGTCTCCATATTGTGTCCAATTACTTTTCTGGCACCCGCATCTTGGTTTTACTCTTGATGGCGTCCCCAGAGTTTGGTGTGTCTGACCAAGCTGTCCGTAGCTGTCAGTCACGCATCAACTCTAAGCCTTAAGGGAGCAACAGGCCAGAGTAAAAAGAACTACATTCATAGTAACGTAAAAACAAAATATACATTGACATTTTTGAGAAGAAACACTATTGATCTTCTTTAAAAGTTAGTAATTTATCATCTATTTAAACCCAAAAATTTAGAGGAAAGGGTTCTGGGTGCTCACAAAAATCAGAGCGCCATCAAGAAAAATACTCTTCAAAAGGAATGGCCCTTTGAGCTTCTTTAAACATCTGACATCTATTAGGTGTGTGGTGTCAGCATGTGGTCTTCTAAAGAGCCTTCAGTGATTTTTTTTTTTTTTAACCCAATTAAAAGTGTGGCGTTTTTTAAAATACACTTGACACACATAGGTCCCCCGTAAGGAAGAAAACATCTCATTTGCACATGCTGTAGGCTTCATGTTGGACAAATATGTTTTTATTTTGTCTATCTACTTTTGTACCCACTTTGTTCTGTACAGAGGCGGAAAACCTTGTACACTAACTGAAGGCAATTTAGAGTCACCAGTTAACCGAAAGTGCAGATATTTGTGGGAGGAAAATGAAGCACCTGTTTATTTTATTTTTTTTTTGTCTTTTTTGTCCTTTGAATAAATTATTGCCAACACTGATGTAAATAAACAAACATAAATGTATTTATGATAAATCAGCAATAATTTGGATGCTTGAATAGGGCTTGCATATAGCTAGGTCAAACAAGAAATTAATTCAAATGAAATAAAACATTATTCGTTATAAGGTTTTTAATCAATCTTACAATGCCTGTATGCATGTATGGAAGTTGCAAGAATGGTTTGCCAATTAAAAAGCAAGCAAAGACATATATATTTTTTTGTATTTCAAGTTGGAGAGATAAATCAAAGCCAAAAATCATTTGGCCAGAACCAAATATGTGAACTAAATACCTAAAATAGTTTTAGGAGAAACATTTCAGATTAGCTGTGTGGTGGTGTTAGGTGGTGGCAGGCGATGGCCTGTGGTTGTGTTTCTGTTAAAAATGTCCAATCACTACATTGGTACATATAAATTATTCAAGTGTAACTTGATTTTCATCCAAGAGGTACAACATGTTGTCTATCTGTCGCCTGGATATACAGAGCGTTCAAACAATGAACAAAAAAATTACTTGATATGAATAAAATGGAATTGTTTTGCTACGTTTAAAATAGATGTGTTCAAATTACAGTGGTGGACTATAAGTAGCCTGGTAGATTAAATAAACAAATGCATTGCAAAAATTAAGAGACATAGAACCTCCAAATGGTAAAGCAACAACAAACTAACTGTGCCACAGTTGGTCTGAACCCACCTAAGTAAAAGTGTAAACCAGACGAACTAAGCATAGCTTCTTGAAAAAGTATTCACATTAAAGATTTCTTCTGTTTTCCTATTTTTTTAATATTTCAGATAAACAAATCTTTGTATTAGACAACTTAGTGTAAGGATTATGATTATTGATTAATTCATATTTATCAAAAATTATAATTAAAAAATCATAATTCAGGAAAATAATTTCTTAACCAAAAATCATTACTTACAAATAGAAATGCTGAGATGTCCTCTGGTGTTGTGGTTATGGGCTCAAAGTTCTTAGTAATTACAATTAGTTATTCGTCACTAATAATTGATAAATTATTAACCAAAACCATTAAATGTCACTGTTTATTCAGCTGCTTTCCCAAAGGTGGGGGAACTTCGACCTGGTTTTGACAGATAAATCACTCTTGCACGAAATAAACACGAACGCTTCTCTTAATTATATATATGAAGATTTATCGAAGCTTTTATTCTGATATACCATTATTCTGGTCCAAAAACCTTCACCTAACTAACAAGCACTATTCTACACAAATGGAATAAAAATGACTACCTAACAATAATAATAAAAGAAAAAAATATGCGCATTGAGTGTCTATGAAGATCAAATCAGCAGTTTTATGGACAAAATGTGCAATTTGGGTTAAAAGGAAAGAGAAGTCCTCCTGGTGTGCTGATGTCTTGATTGCAGCGATCAGCCGGTAAAACGGTGGAGCCATGCCCCTTTAGCCTCTAGCAGCTGATTGCCCCAAATCTCGAACAAAGAGTCATAAAACGCTGAGGCAGAAATACAGTGGAAAAAACTCCAGTAATAAAACTGGAACAAAGGAGTGGTCAGGCGAGGCCCAGACCGCAGTTGCTTTGAATGAAAAACTTTAAGAGTCCAACTTCTAACTCCTGGCTGATTTGTGATCAGCCAGACAAAACATGAACATGCACGATTCAGCAGCGCTTGCACAGCAAATCAAAACACAGCTCAGCATAAAACACTTCAATCAGTATTGCATGCAACAAGTTGATACCTTGGATTAACTACTGGTGATTCTAGATCACCTCAACTATGTCTCATCCTGCCCAGACTTCTAAATGTACCTATCCAATTTAATATCAAAGAAAAGAACAAAATTACTTTGACGTTGATTTCTTCTTTCCTCTGGTTGAAGGGTCAGGTCTGAAGAAAAACGAGGGGAGGGGGGATCACGTGTCCATTATCAACTCAAAAGAAAAACGGTAAACTTCTCATCTGTCCAGGAGGGAAAAATATGAAGAACCGTTTAGTCAACTGAATCAACAAGGAGGAAACTCATCTCCTTGGAAATAAATCCTCTGTGGGTTTTTTACCTGTGCCATGTGTCGGCGTGGTCTTTGATCAGGATATGAATCTTCTGACCTTCTGTATCACACAGAATTCCAGCTTTCAAACTCTTCCGGGAATGGCCTTGTGGAGCAAAAGTTCGCCTGCGAGCTTTTGTCTCTCTAGATATGTGCCTCCGTTGCATCGTCCCATGAGACACGCTGGAAATGGCAACGAAAGTTTATTTTCCACGGGTTTTATAATCCCGGGTGACGTCAGAGCTGAGAAGTCTGTTGAGCTGCGCATGTTCAGCTGTCCGACTAAATTGAATGACTCCAACATTAGTTTTTAGATAACCTAATAAACAAATAAATACAAAATACAGTTTTATTGAATGTTGATTTTATTTATTTATTTTATTTTATTTTTGGGCTGCATGGCAGCACCGTTGGTAGCACTGTTGCCTTGCGAGAAGAAGGTCCTGGGTTCGACTCCCGGCCGTGCATGCTTGGGTTCTCACTGGGTACTCCAGCTTCCTCCCACAGTCCAAAAACATGACTTTTAGGTAAATTGGTCTCTCTAAATTGCCTGTAGGTGTGAATGAGTATGTGCGTGGTTGTTTGTCCTGTATGTGTCTGAGTTGCCCAATGGATTGGCGATCTGTCCAGGATGTCCCCTGCCTCTCGCCTGTAAACTGCTGGAGATAGGCACCAGCTCCCCCGTGACCCACTATGGAATAAGCAGTATAGAAAATGAATGATTTTATTTATTAGGGAGAAAAGCTATCCAAACTAACATGGCTCTATATGAAAAAATAACTGCCTACTAAACAACATTCAGAAAAAGAATATCAGACAGTCAAACATAGTGGTAAAAATGTAATGGTCTAGTGCTGCTTTGCTTAATCAGGACCAAAGAAAACTTGCTGGCAGTCATATGATTCTGCTTTCTACCACAAAATTCTGATGGTTAATGTCTGGTCATCAATTTGTGAAAATAAGTTCAAGCACATAATTTATGTCAGTTGTTGCCTCCAAGGGTAATACAATGAGTAACAAGATTTGGTGGTCAATTACTATTTTTACACAGGTTGACTTGGATAGGTTTTTTCCAGTTAATAAATCAAATCATTTCCAAACTGTAATATGTTTTTACTCTGATTATCTTTGTTTGATATGTAATTTATTGGCTGATTTGGAACAGTTGGGTTTAAAATAAAAAGCAAAAACGGTAAAAAATGTGTATCTTTCATCTTATAATTTACCTAATTTGCCAAGTCTTAACTGATCTCACACTGTTTCTAGCTCACTAGAGTTTCGGGCTCACCTAGCATGATGCAAACATATATCAGGTTCATGTACAATGAACATTTAGCTAAGGTGCATAAAAATCTGATATACTGGGCTCTGAGTCAATGTGTGTTAGGGTAGCAACAAGAATGTGCTGAACTACTGGGTTGCCTCACATACCTTTGTTTATTCTTTTTCCCCCTTTCCTCATAATATCTTGAGACCTTGTTGCCTGTATCATATCTTTCATGCTTCCATGTTCAAATGATATGCTCCCTTCTTAGCATCTGTTAATGCAACTTCCATAGGAGCCAAAGCTTGCAGAGGTTTGGGGATGATCCGTTTTGTAAAAACGTCTTCTTTTTACCAGTGAGATTTATAGACATAGTCTTCTAATATTAAACATCCAAAATATGTATCTCTGTAACTTTGCCTCTCATTCCAAGATTTGAATACTAATGGAGTCAAGAGAGAAGGGCAAATAATGATTTAAAAATAAAAGAGAAGGCTGGTCATTTCACCAACCTCTGGGATTCATATTATCTATTAGCTCATCAATTGGAGAAGGGGATGAAAGAGAAACCCAGTATGTCTATCATTACCCAGCCTCCTGCAGGACAATCTCCTTTAGAAAGGACCGCCCACAGTGACACACTCAAATTATTCATGGGAATTGCAGACCACCTTGCACCTTGCAGGAGTATCACTCATCCAACCGTAGACAGATGGACACTTTAATATGATAGTGTGAAATTGGAGTGTCTCTGAAGAACCTCCCCAAAATCTTATTTCCTCTGTCTTCCCTGCCAGAGGTATGGCTTTGAAATTTAGAAAAAAAAACAATGCTTAATTTACTTTTTTTCTGATTGGTCATATTAAATATCATCTTTCTCTTGTTTTTAACCATTTTTCTCCCAAAATGTATTGCAATATTATTTTTTTAAAAAATTTAATTGATGGCTGGTTAAAACTTGATGGTTGCGTTGGACTCAAAAACATCAGCAGAACAGGAACAAGTTAAAAAGGGCATGCATTTTGTTCACTGTCAATGCATCTTGAGATTCCTGGTAAGATTTGTAATATTTTAAAAATATATTTGGATATTCGTGTTCTTTGTAATTTGAAAAATGTCAGGATCTGTGCTTTGTGTGTCTGTTGGTGCTTTTACTGTGCTCAGCCCCTAGATGGTGTGGAATCTGGAGGAGACGTGACAGGTGTTCGCTATTCCCCTGATTATTCTGCAGAGGACTATTTAAGGAGGAGGCTGCCAGCAACTCACTGCCAGAGTGTTACCCTTAGTGGTACTACTCAGCCACGTTACCTTTGCCATTGATCTTGCCTTGTACACCAAGCAACTTTGTCTTTGTATCGTGCAGGTTTCCTGAACCTGATTTTGCCTTGCATTGAATCCTGCCTGGATAAACCGTCTTCTGGAAGGAAGCAATCCAGTTCCATGAACAAAGACTCAAGTCTCTCATGACTTCGTTGGATCATGCCGGCTGGCAGCCTCCTGATTCCTGCGTACCTCGGACCTCCATCTGCGAACCCTGTCCACCCTGCTCCCTCCATCGCACCTCGTGGATTACAAACTCTCCTGGTTTACCATATCCACCAACTTCAGTCTCACTGGCAAACCACCACTTGGTTTCTCCACGCCCCCTCTGACAGATCCCTCCACAATTCTTTGTAAGACAGATTTATTATTTTCATGAGTTCAGCCCCAGAGTTATCCCTGCTTACCTTCTTGTTTATTTCTACAGTTTGCATCCTGGTTCCAGTTCCCTGCATTATTCACCCAGTTGTAAATGAACATTTTACCGAACAATACCATCTCCTGAATTGCTTTCTGCATGTGGGTCAAATCCTTTAAACTCAATATGACAAAGCACTCTGGCCAACCTGACCCAGCAGAAGCATTCAGGAGAACTTTATCTGAACAACACCACCAGATTGCTACTCATGATTCCTCTCTCTGTTCTCTTTTTGAACAACAGAAACAGACCAATCAGCAGATTGAACAAATCGCTTCCTTGTTTCAGCACAACTTGAGCAATTTCACCGCCCCGGCAATAGAGGGCGCTGCTGTCTCTCCAGTTTCTCAGCAACTTCCGCACTCACATGAGCTCACTTCCCCGAATCCAGAAAAATTCTCTGGTGAGAAGGGAGATTGTAAGGATTTCCTTCTCCAATGCACTTTAGTATTTATTCTCTCCCCACAATCTTTTCCTCATGATGCAGTAAAGATTTCTTTTGTACTTGGGCTGCTAACAGGAAAAGCCCTGAGGTGGGCAGAGGCCTGTTTTTCAAACTGTTTAGATTTTGGCTGCACATTTTCTGAGTTTAAGGAGGAGTTTCGTCAGGTTTTCTCCTGTGAGAAAAATTTAACCGGCAATGCTTGTAGCTTATGGTCTATTAAACAGAGAAATCAGTCAGTTGCTGAATTTTCCATAGATTTTCACACCCTCGTTGCTGCTTCTGGATGCAATGACTGCGCTCTTAGAGCCGCTTTCTTCCAGTCATTAAATTATCCTTTAAAGGATGAATTAGCTTTAGTCGACGAGCCTAAGACTTTGAATGGGTTAATCAAGTTAGCCGTTAGACTAGATAACCGAATGAGGGAGAGAAAAAGATCCAGATTAGAACAGAGTGCAGTCAAGGCCCATCTCTCTAGCCCTACTGCCGAAACTGGTCGCCCCACGCCTGCTTCACACAATTCAGATATTGAACCCATGCAGATTGGGCGTACCCAGCTTTCCCCTGAGGAAAGACTAAGACACTGCCATGCTAATCAGTGTTTTTACTGTGACTCACCGGAACACCATCTTGCTAACTGCCCTATTCGTCCTTCGGGGCCAAAAGGGCAGGTCCGCCATTACGTGAGGGGAGACTGACGGACCGTTTCCTTTCCCCCAGATTTAGTTTACCTGCCACATTAATTTCACACCGTCCTTTTCAAAACCTCTCTGCTCTTATTGACTCGGGTAGCGACCAGAACCTTATTGATCCGAGGTTAGTTAAAGAAGCTCAGATTGAGACTGAGCCACTTCCCACGCCTCAAGCTGTTTCTTCATTAGATGGCAAAAAATTACCTCAAATCATTCATAAAACCAAACCTTTGACTTTAATCCTGTCAGGTAATCATAGGGAGGAGATCTCATTTTTTGTCTTTCCTATCGCTTTGAACTCAATCGTTTTATGTTTTCCCTGGCTCAAGAAGCACAACCCCCATGTGAACTGGACTGAATGCCGAGTTGAATCTTGGTCCACCAACTGTCTTTCTTCCTGTTTGCAGTCAGCCATTGCTTCACAACCTTCCGAGTTAGCTCCTACTAGAGATGAGATTTCTGACCTCACTAACAATCCTCCAGAATACCATGATCTCAGTTTGGTTTTCAGTAAATCAAAAGCCCTATCATTGCCCCCACATAGGCCCTATGATTGTGCCATAGATTTGTTTCCTGGTGCCCCCCTGCCAACCAGTAGACTCTACAACATTTCTGGACCTGAAAGAAAGGTTATGGAAGATTACATAAATGAGTCATTAGTAGCCGGGCTAATTCGTCCCTCTTCATCTCCACTCGGAGCAGGGTTTTTCTTTGTGGGTAAGAAGGATGGTTCACTCCACCCTTGTATTGATTATAGGGGATTAAACCAAATTACTGTTAAAAACAAGTACCCTCTTCCATTCCTTTCCTCAGCCTTAGAACCAGTCCACGGTTCCACTATATTCTCCAAGCTAGATCTCCGTAATGCATATCATTTAGTTAGGATCCGAGAGGGAGATGAGTGGAGGACCGCCTTCAAGACCCCGTTAGGTAACTTTGAGTACCTAGTCATGCCTTTTGGACTAAGTAACGGACCAATAGTATTCCAGTCATTCATCAGTGACGTACTAAGGTACTTTTTGAATGTTTTTGATACCTTGATGACATCTTGATTTATTCGAAGGACATTCAAGAACACACCCGTCACGTCCGCCTGGTGCTACAAAGACTTTTTGGAGAACAGACTGTTTGTTAAAGCTGAAAAATGTGAATTTCACAAGAAATCTGTCACATTCTTAGGATACATCCTGGAGGGTGGACAGGTTCGCTCGGACCCGGAGAAGATCAAGGCGGTTCTGGAGTGGCCTGTCCCAGACTCCCGCAAGCAGCTACAATGGTTCCTTGGATTTGCAAACTTCTATTGTCGATTCATCAACAAGTTTAGCCTCATAG